TTGAGGGTAGGGCATCTTGCTAGTCTCCACACTGCTCTCTGGAGCGCCCAGGTTACTTATTCATTCCATCACTGAACAAACAAGTGTTGAGCCTCCACTATGTGCCAGGATCTACAGAGATTACAGAGACACAGCCCCTATGAGGTTATGGATTATTAGATAATTATTTTTACCTATTGAATAAATGATTAAATACTGTCCTTTGGGAGAAGAGTCAATCCTTTATCCTTCCTGCCTCCTTTCTACCTCCAGACTAATCCCTCTCCCCAAGCTCCTGCTCTGGGCAGTTTCAGCCTTGAACCCCCCCCCCCCTTGAGGTCAGTTCTTCCACCTTGTGGCTGCAGTGCTTGATTGTCTCTGCACCCCAGTTCTGTCCCACCCCAGCCCGGGGACCGGGAAGCATGATGCAGGGCTCTCACCACAGGCTTTCCCAGCTGAGTCCAGCAACACACTCTGCACAGTGGCACTGGTCAGGACAGCGCCCCCGGCCCGCTGAATCACAGGAATGGTGTGGAAAGCGATTTCACTGGAACCCCCTCGGGGGTAAAAGTCCCCTTCTATGTAGTGGCCAACCACCAGAGCATGCATGGAAAAGGCACTGTGGCTGGGGATCACACCTACAGAAGGAAGGAAGGGGTGATGAGGCAAGAGACAACGGCAGCACCACTTAGAAAGGAACACAGTTTCCTGTCAAAAAGCACGCAGCCTGAGTCTACCCATCCCAGGATCCAAATGATCCCCAGGGCTAAGGGCAGCCAGAGGGCCTGTTTCCATCCAAACACAGGGCACCTGACAGATCCTGAGGCCAGTGGGAATGTCCTCCCTGCAAAGTGCCATGCTGCCAAGATGAGGGAGGACATTGTTGGTTGAAAAGGAAAACCATCCAGGGCACGGATGAAGGGAAGTTTTACCAGGGAGTCCAGCAGGTAGGTGGCTAGACTTCTCATCCAGAAGCTCCAGCAGACCTTGGGTATCTACTGCTCCATCTCAAGTTAGTCAAGCAGTCTCAGGAAGAAAGACTGAGAGCCAAGAGGGCAGCCCCTCCTCCTCCAGGAGCCGCCCAGGACCCAAAGCCAGTACCCACCATAAGTGGGGAAGATGTAGCTCAGCACTGCCTGGAGCTCCGGGGAGGCTGGCAGCTGCCGCAGGACATCAGCCAGGCTCTGGGTGGATGCACGAAGGAATGGAAAGAACCAGGTGAGCGGCGCACACTTGCTGAGGAGCTGAGCTATGCGCAATGGGAGCATCTTCAACCAGATGGCATGGATGACTCCACGGGACACCACCTGAGGGAAAAAATGAGCCGTGAGAACAGGTCCCATCTCTGGAACGCTGTAACAGAATCACCATTCCAACAGCCTGCACCAGCCCAGCACCAGGGCCCAGCACCCCTTAGCCCTGGCAGAACTTGGATTTTTAAAAATCATTCCCATTCCACATTCAGATAAGTCCTTTTCTGCTTTTCAGTTTCCTGCCCAAATTCCCTTTGTAAAATCCCATCTGATCTCTGAGGAAGTAAAAAAGGGTGTGATCTGACCACATAAGTAGAAGCCAGCCTTGTCAAAAAGGAGAACAGGGTGCCCCCCAGAGGCCAGAGTGAGAGTGGCAGCTGCCGAGTCCAGGCTCCAGAGACAGGGCCCAGCTGGGCACCAAGGCCAGCTAGGGGTAAGGGCTGAGTTCAGGGCCGACTTGACTGTTCCTCCCTTCCCACCACGCCTCCCAGTCACTCCACCCATGAAGAAGGTCAGCCTTGTCGGGAATAAACAGGGAGTCCTCAGCATGTCCATGTTACCTTAACGAGATTTACATATTTGTCAATGGCAGCTTCTTCCGGGGGAAACTTCTCCTTGAGGCCCTGAATGTAAGCTTTCGCCCCACTGTACATGGAGAACTCCTTTCGGCCATTGGGTCCTTCTAGTACCATGATGTCAAAGGGAGAGGACAAGGCAGCCCACTCCAGCTGCCCCTCTGTGATCTGGTCCAAGACAAAACGGCAAATGTTGTCCTCTTGCATGGACCCAACATAATGGATTCCTATTGGGAGAGACAGAAAAACAAGGTGTCATAGGGATAAGGGGACTGACCCCTGGAAAGGTGGATAAGGAAGCAAGGTGAAAGAGGTAGTCCCGCCCGGCTGAGTCCATGCCCAGAGGGTGCTGCCCACCCTTTCTGTGGGGAGGAGTTGCAACAGAAACCACCAAATCTCTGCCCAGTTCAGCACCCGGTAAGGTTATGGCTGTCAGGCAAAGAAAGTGGTGCCTCCAAAACAACAGAAGTGTCCAGGATCCTCCCACAATGGCTGCCCCCAGCCTCCTGAAGATAAAGCCACGCTCCCAAGCCCTTCCCACATAAGCCTTACCTGTGTCAAACTCAATGCCTCTCTGTCCGAAAGTATGACAGCAGCCTCCTGCCTTGCTGTTTTTCCAGCACCAGAACTCGCTTGCCAGCTTTGGCCAGAATTGCAGCTGCAGCCAGACCCCCAAAGCCACTGCCAATCACAACTGCATCCAGCTTCTCAGGCACTTGGCTGGCTGAGAAAGCTACCACAGAGGGAAGAGATGGAGGGTGAGCTTCTCAGGCAGGGGCGGCGAGAGAGCAAAGAGATGGACACCAAGGAAGACTCCGCTAGCTTATACAATGCAAGTAAACTCTAGAGAGTTCGGCATGGAGCAACTGACTAAAATAACTCCACCCATTCACCTGGGAAATTCTCAGGACCAGCTAGGCGGATTAAGGACAGTGATTTGGTTCGAGTTGAATTGATGTAATCAAAACCAGTATGTACCTGGAGATTTTCCCTACTATCAAAAAGAGTAGGAATCAGTAAACCACTACACAAACAAAATCAGAAAGCTGACAGTAATACAGGCTGAGAAACTTACGTGTGGATAGAGAGCTAGGAAAGAAAGAAAACAAGGAGATGGGGGACAGAGGAGAGTGTTGTGGGCAGGCTGCTGGCTCATGGAACTGTCCATTCACGAGTTGGCTATCTTAGGAAAACACAGGGTCTGTTGGCACGAGTGGAGCAGCCCGGTCCTATGATGGTCGCCAAGATCCTGAAGCAGAAGCTTGAGCAGGACAGAGCTGAGAAATCGTAGTACCACCCCTTCATATCTGGGAAGACTAGAGGCAGAACTAAGGGGCCAGCACCTAAACAAGATGAAACCAGACAGCACATGGTGCTACATGGGCATTTCCAACACAAAATCTGCTCTTTAAAGATGACTCCTGAAGAACTGAGATTTGGAATTTTTCAAGCTGCAAAAGAACCTGAAAAACTTTTCAAACACTTTTAGAAAAACCTATAGTGAAAAACATTTTTTTTAAAAGATTTTATTTATTTATTTGACAGAAAGAGAGAGCCCATTTTTTTAGAGCGGCAGGCAGAGGGAGAGGGAGAAGCAGGATCCTCGCCGAGCAGAGAGCCCGATGTGGCGCTCGATCCCAGGACCCTAGGATCATGACCTGAGCCGAAGGCAGACGCATTAACCGACCGAGCCACCCAGGTGCCCCATGAAAAACACATTTTATATCACAACCCAGGTTATAAATAAGTATATAATATAAATACCTGAAACAGAAGTTTCACAATACAATACTTCCCAGAACTATGTATGATGACTCTGATATTTTCTATTCTACCACATTTTGAAATGCAACCCACTAAATCGATTTCATGACTCACTGATAAATCACTGGTAACTGCTTTGAAAAACAGTTACACTAGTCATCTCATTTTTAGAACAACCCAAGATTAGTGGAGTGACTTGTGAATGGTTATGCAGTAAATTAGTGACAGAGTTCAAGCTAAAACCCTGATCTCGGAAGTTCAGGCTAACAGTCTTTCCACTTAAAAGAGTATTGTCTCCGCCTGTGTCACAAGATGTGTCACACAGAATTCTAAAATTTACAAGTAGGAGGGACCTTGGAGATCAAAGAGGGAATCTAATTTTTTTTAAAGCACAACTCTTTCTTTAAACCTTTTGAGGAACCCCAAATTTTTTTTTAAAGATGAGTGTGGAGATACTCTGGTTGACTAAGGAGCAGCTCTGAGCCTGAGGCATCCTGTTGAGGTTCTCCCAAAGTTTTAGAACCAGGGTTCAACCATATGATTTGGGAGGAAGCATAATTAGTCAGATCACTTGATGGACAAAATACAATTTCCCACACAGGTTGGAAGAAATGTGCAGCTCCTCCACACCTCTGAACCACGGGGCAGGGCAAGTGAAAAAGGTAAGGTCCTATAAACCAAATGGGGCAAAGGTCTCTTGTCTATCCTGCTGGTCGAGGACCTGTTCTTGGCAATACCATGACTTTGGGATGCAGAGGACGGGACCGCGGCCATGGGGCCACTATGACCCAGGGCCTGCCAGGGCATAGGTTCTCACCGGTAGCAGACAATAAGGCGGGGCGCCTGCCGGTGCAAGGAAGCCCTCCCAACACTTTACATATGGGGAAACTGAGGCCCAGGTGGACAGCAGCTCTCCCTGTTGGAATGGGAATGCAAGCCGCCCAAGTGCAGCCTTGGAGCCTAGGGTCCCTTCCCGCTGACCTCGCTTGAGAACCTTCTTCCTAGCCCCCTTGTCGGTCACCAGCGGCGCGGGGGGACACCTGACGTTCTCGGAGAAGGGGTTCTGGGAGCTGCCGGCGGACAGCCGCAGGTGCCCTTTGCAGAGGACCGCCAGCAGCAGCACGGCCAGCAGCAGCAGCGAAAGCCACATGGCGCTGGCGGGGTCCGAGGACGGGGTCCGCTGCCACCGCGCCCAGCCTCTGCGGCAGGGACTCCGCCTCGCCTCTGAGTCCTTCTGGACGAGGGTGGGGTGGGCGGGGAGGCGGAGGCAGCCTCGACCACTGATAAGCCAGAACCTTCCGGGCTGAGACAGTGCCTCCCGGCGGCTCGTACGGCTCTGGCTGTACGAAGCGTCCCCGGCGGCCAAGAAGGCGGGGCGCTGGGGGCGGAGAGGCTGCGTGGGGACGCGTGCGCACGCGCGGGGAGGCGTGGCCAGGGGCCTGAGCCAGACGCCACGGCTCGGGAGTTCTGGGCCGCGGCCAGCTAACCCCTGCCTCTGCGGAGTGGGCGTGGGGTGGAGATGGTCGCCCCCGGCCGAGACGAGGCTGAGAGCTGCAAGCCTGAGAGAGAATCTCGCCCGGGACCCAGGAGGCCAGGGTTCTGGTCTGCGCTCTGCCTTGGGCGCGCCCAATGACCCGAGGCAAGTTGCTTACCTGTTTTCCGCACCAACTGGTGAGGAGGATTCCGTCCGGAACCCACACAGTCCCAGTCTGGCGGGGTACCTTGATGGAGTGAGATTCCTGCTGAGATCCGCGCGTCACAGCCGGCGAGCACCCGGCCCCGTGCCTCCGGGTGGCCAGTCGTTTTGTCCGAGGCCGCGGCGCTCGCCTGGGATGGCGTTGCCTGCGGCGGGGGCCTGGCGGCGCCCCCAAGCCTCTGCCTGGGTCCTCATGGCACCTGCCCTCCGTGGGGGCAGTGAGAGGCCGGGGAGCCGCCCAGCGACAAGCCTGATGAAAGGATCGGAGAAGGACTGTCAGATCTACGTGGGCATTTGTATTTAAAGTATGGACCCAGTGTCTGGATGAAATACCTATTCAGAGAGTGGAAGCTCCAGCAAGAAGTTTGATAATCATACCCCTTAATGTAGCTCCTTGCCTAAAGTGGGTGTACCATACTTAATTTGAAAAAGACCCATCCTTATGGGAAGGCCATTTCTTTGGACCCAACTATAAGGAATTTGCCTAATGTTGGCGGGCATGACTTCATAACTTCCGTTACTGGCTTATTTGACGGAGTTTTTGCTCTTTTCTTTCTCTGATACAGATAGTAACTGTCCCTGTTGAAGTCCCCAGAGCTCCACTTGGAACTGAGGCACTAGCAGGTGTGTAAAGTTGGTCATGTTTCTGTGCTGCGTGATTCATATCATACATAGAAACAGAAGAGGCTTCCTGAGATCACTGGTACCATCCCTGCCTGTCACCTTCCCAAGGTTGGCTGTGTGAGTTTTGTTATATGGTGTCATGGAGGTCAAGGAGGAGGGCAAGGAAAGGGAACCAGATGCTGAGGTGAGGGAGAGAGCTAGTTCCTGAGGTACCATGACCAAGGTAGGACAGGTACTGTCCTCCCCATTAAATTACAGTGACCCAAATTTCCAGCCCAATAGCCAGGAAGTATTCCCATTCTGGGTGCTAGGAAATCATCCTACCACCTGACAAAGATTCCAGTTTGTTACTGGCAGCCAATTCTTAGGGAATCCAGATCCTGTTCCCACAGTCGGGGGTTGACCTCAAAGAGAGGCCACCCTCCTTCCTAAGTTATCCAAGTCTGTGAAATACGGCCGTCAGTTGTGTGTGGGCTATCTGCCCACTTATGATCCAGACTGTTGTTGTAACGGTTATGCATGTTTTACAGTTCCTGCACAATAAGTTACGGGCCTGTCCAGCCCTCTTCCCAAGGTGGGCTCGTGGGATGACTGTCTTAGAGTTAGCCAAACTGACTAAACAGCTGCAACATGTGCAATATTGGTGTTCACCAAGGAAGGCTAGGCAATGTGTTGCATTTTGATTTTCTATCATCATAGGAACCAGGCCTAGTATTGTAAGCCCCCAGACCCAACCTGTGTCTGAGACCTAAGCAAAGCCTGAGCACTTCAGCTAAGACCACCCACCAGGATGCCACTCATTAGCTTCCTCCCTTTGATAAGCTGCCCCCAGATCCCAGTGACTTCGTTGTCAGAACCAGACCTCACTACTAAACAGTGGTGCTGCTGCTGCCTTCTGAACACTGAGGATGCAACCCTCAGACCTCTAGCATCCCCTTTGTTCCATCCAGTGGCATGGAAAGTAAGAGTTAGGCATTTGACTAAAGCAGCTGATTTATTTGGAATAAGTTTATAGCTGCTTAAAGATTTGTATTTATTTTTAAGATTTATGTATTTATTTTGAGAGAGAGAGAGAGAACAGGGAGAGGGGTAGACGGAAGGAGAGAAGCAGACTCCAGCTAAACACGGAGCCCTACTCTACTGGAGACACGATCTCATGAACCTGAGATCATGACCTGAGCTGAAATCAAGAGTGGGATGCTTAACCTCCTGAGCCACCCAGGTGCCCCTGAATGTTGGCTATTTTTGACCATTTATCATCCATTCCCATTTTTGCTTAACTGAATGATGAAACTAGTTTTCTTTCGTAATTTTTTTTTTTCGTAATTTTTTTTTTTTCTTACAGGACTGAGACTTCAGAGACCTCAGGGACTTCTTTCAGTACTCACAGAAACCTCCTAGCCTTGGTGATGGCACATGGGGACTGTTTACTTACTCTTAGTCTGAATGACTGCCAAGAAGGAAGGCAAAGGTAGAGCAGTCGGATCTCTGGCTCTCCCCATACTTCTAATCTCAGACTTTATTAAACTCCTTTCTGAGCCCAAGGACAAAGCTCACTTGAACAAATGACTGAGTCATGAATGAAAACTCTTGCTCTTTCCATAATGAGAAAGGATTAAGAGACGGACAGGTAAGCAAGCACTTCTGTTTGAGAAAGAAGGTGTTCATTTGGGATATATTGTTATTAGTAATAACAGGATATATCAAGAGAATGTAGAATTTTCAAAATGTTTTGGGAAAACCCTCATTATAATGCTCTTTGTAGGAGAGGCTTCTATTCATATACCTCTGAGTCAGTTGCCATTGCTAGCAGCTTCTTTTCTTTCTTTTTTTTAAGATTTTACTTATTTTTTTGAGAGAGAGCGAGCTAGCACACATGCATGCACAGGAGTGGGGGAGGGGCAGAGGGCGAGGGAGATGAAGAAGCAGACTCCCTGCTGAGCAGAGGTTTGATCCCAGGACCCTGAAATCATGACCCAAGCCAGAGACAGCTGCTTAACAGATTGAGCCACACAGGTGCCCCTTCTTTTTTTTTTTTTTAAGTTTATTCATTTAAGTTATCTCTACACCCAATGTGGGGCTCAAACTCGTGACCCCAAGATCAAGAGTCACATGCTGTTCAGACTGAGCCCAGGTGCCCCACTAGTAGCTTATTTTCTAAGTTTCAAAGTTCTGTTTAAGGAGTAATAGTTGGCAAAGATGTGTAGGAGGGATTAGAGCAACAGGATCAGCTGGGATTCTGGGGCCTTGACATAGCACTGATTTTTTTATTAGTTATTTTCTTCTACTTAGTTTTTTCCTCTTATTTAATTTTATTTTTTAAGATTTATTTATTTATTTGTCAGAGAGAGAAAAGTGAGAGCACAGACACGGGGAGCAGCAGAGGGAGAAGCAGGCTCCCCGCTGAGCAGGGAGCCCAAGGCGGGACTCGATCCCAGGACTCCGGGATCATGACCTGAGCCGAAGGCAGACGCTTAACCGACTGAGCCACCCAGGCGCCCCTCCTCTTATTTATTTTAGAGAAAATAATACATTCACATGGTTCAGAATCCAAAAAGCAGGGAGCATATACCTATAGTGAAAAAACTGCCTTCTCTTGTCCCCTAGCCACCCAGTTTTCTTCTGGAGGCAAAATCACTGCTTCCTTGGGTATAAGTCTAGAAATAGTCTCAGCAGAGACAAGCAAATATATTTGTGTGTTTTCTAAAAATATAAATGGTAACATCGTGTATATACTCTGCCCTTTGCTTCTTCCACTTAATATATCATGTGGAGTTCCATATTGTCCATAAAACACTTTCTTATTCTTCTTTATGGCTAGATCAGAGCTCATTGAGTTAATATGCTTTTATTTGTGGAATTAGTCCATTAGTGGGCATTCGGGGTTTTTCTAGCCTTTTGCCATGACAAACAGTTCCACCACGAATGACGCTCTAAGCATGTCCTTTTGCACACGGACGAGTATATCTGTTGGATAAATTTCTAGAATGCAGTTGCAGGCCCAAAATGGACAAAAGCATGTACAATTTTGTCAGATATTGTCAAGCTGTAGAGGTGGGAACAATTTACCCTTCAGTGTGTTACAACACTTGGTTTTCTAGCCAACACAGTGTGTTAGCACACTTTTGAAATTTGCTCATATGATAAGTGACAAATATTATCTCGGACTAGTTTTATTTGACACGTCTCTTATTACGAGTAAGGTTGAGCATTTTTTATTTGTTTCAGAGCAGTGCATGTTTCCTTTTCTGTAAGCTGTCCATATCCATGCCCATTTTTCTACTGGGCTGGGTTTCTTTTCCTGACTGATTTGTAGGATTTTTTTAAACACATTAGGAAAATTAGTCCTGTATTGATAATCTGAGTTGCAAAAGTTGGTCAAGTGGTTTTGTTTTGTTTTGTTTGTGTTTTTAAAGTTGATCAAGTGGTTTTTTTAAAGCTCTAATGGGCAAAGGTTTAGCTGAACAGAAAGGCCAAAAGTAAGGAAACTGCCTCCCTAAACTTACTCAGAGTCCTGAGACCTTTTACAGAGCAAAAAAATCTGAGATAATATTAACTAAGCTTTTTGCAGTTTCTCTTAAGAAAAAAATAAGCAGTTTTCCCTTGCAGTAGTCCTTACAGTTGAGGTCTCGGGAGTTCATCCATCTTTGTGTGTATGGTATTAGGAAAAGGTGTGACATTTAAGCTGTCAACTTTGGAGGACTGATATGTGCCCAAGAATCTGACCCTGCTTTGTCTTATAGGTTGAAAGTGTGTGTGCTGCATATCCTCCACCATATGACAAGGACACCAGTGCTCTTCGGGCTCTCAGAGGAATTCCTGTACATGTCACCCACACCCCAGTACCTCCTGCCCATACAAGCTTTTGTTGCATGCTTCTCTGTGTGGCCAGGCACCAGGGACTCAGGACAGCAGAGACCCTGCTTCCAGGAGCTCACACTTGGGGGCGGAGTTGTGGGGCACAAACTTGCAGAACAACCTCTAGCTAGTAAGATAATTGCTCCAGGGAAGCAGAATACAAAGTGCAGTGGGAATACCAAAGGCACACCACAGTCTCAATTGAGCTGTGTGAATTTTTGTTTATTCTTCAAGGAGAGCATATGCTTGTCCCCACGTCACCCGACATGTACATCATAGTTGGAGTTTTCCGCCTGCCTCTCTTTAAGATTGACTTTAATCAACCCATCCTTCTGACCTCCAGTTCCAAAGACATTCTCTACTGTGGGTGGGGCATGTTTGTGTGGATGGGAGGGTATGGATTCACCCTCACACTAAAGGTTGGCTGCCCCTACAGATCTCAGAGTTGAAGAACCATGGCATCCTCCGGGCCCTGACAGCAGAAGCGAATGGATGGGAGCCACGTGGTAAGGTCCCCTTCAGCGCCCTAGGAGCCTGGGTGGGACCCAAGTTAGAGGTCCCCGTGGTCTACTTTTCATCATTTCAATTTCTCTCGGTACTTGTCCTATGGAATTTTACGGATTTATCATTCTTCAAGGAAAATTAGAATCAACACTGGATTGGTAGGGAAAGGTAGGGAACTGTGCTAATGTGAGCTGCAACACTGGATTAGAAGTCAAAAGACTTAAGTCCTAATCTAGCACTCAAAGCAGCTGTATTATGTGCCTTGCGCAAATCATATTATCTCCATGTCTGCTGTGGAGGTTGACAATGCCTTCTCTGTCCTCAAAGGGATATTGCAACAATGATATGAGACAGTGTATGTGAAAAGGCTTTGAAAAAGTATCCTATTTTATCTGCTTCACATGATTCTTTCATATACTGTGTTTAAAGTTCATTTCACTTGCTGATTTATGACACAGAAAGGCCCACTCACCAGGTGAGAAACACCTAGAGTCCCATATCTCTGGTGTAAGTCCTGCCTTTTTCACCCACCAGCTATATGACCTTGAGCAAGTTTCTTAATCTTCTAACCCTTACTTCATCTATAAGACAGAAAGTGAGTCAGAACCTGTGTGATGGGAATTGTGTAGGGACTATATGAGCTGAGGTGAAGTGCTTAGAGCACAGATTATAAATCTATAACGAGTGCTCATTGCTCTGTATTGTTATCTTGAAATTCTGCAAACTGAAAATGTAATCTCCACAAATATAGGGCTTGTTAAGAATACTCTAAAGTAGAAAAATTATTTGGAGATCTGTGAAGTTTCTTCTAATAGATTTTCATCTTTGTGTGGTGACAAACCTAACATTTATTAGAGATTTTGCCTTAAATGCCAAAATATTTTATATTTCAGTACAAGTAGCATTTTTTTTAATGCCAGATATTTTTTTTAAAGATGTATTTACTTATTTATTTGAGAGAGAGAAAGCAGGGGGGAGGAGCAGAGGGAGAGGGAGAGTCTCAAGCAGACTCTGAGATGAGCACTTGCTGAGCCCATGGAAGGCTCGATCTCACAACCCTGAGATGATGACCTAAGCCAAAGTCAGATGCTTAACCGACTGAGCCACCCAGGCACCCCTGTGCCACATATTTTTAGTCATATTAAACAATTACAGTCTTCTTCCAGATTGTTCTCAGCTCATTTAAATTGATAGGCTTATGAGGCACCTGGCTGGCTCAATTGGTGGAGCATACAACTCTTGATCTTGGGGAGTGAGTTCGAGCCCCACATTGGAGATTACTTTAAAAAAATAAAATCTTTGGGCGCCTGGGTGGCTCAGTTGGTTAAGCGACTGCCTTCGGCTCAGGTCATGATCCTGGAGTCCCGGGATCGAGTCCCACATCGGGCTCCCTGCTCAGCAGGGAGTCTGCTTCTCCCTCTGACCCTCTTCCCTCTCGTGCTTTCTATCTCTCATTCTCTCTCTCTCTCAAATAAATAAAATCTTAAAAAAAAAAAATAAAATAAATAAAAAAATAAAATAAAAAAATAAAATCAAAAAAAAAAAAGCCTGGGTGGAAAAAAAGTTAATTGAGCCCTATGCCAGGCTCCCGGCTCAGCGGAGAGTCTGCTTCTCCTCCTCCCTCTTCCCCTCACCCCTGCTTGAGGTCTCCCTCTTTCCCTCTCTCAAATAAATAAATAAAATCTTTAAAAATAATTAAACATATGGGGCTTCTGGGTGGTGCAGTGGGTTGAGCGTTGGACTCTTGGTTTCCGCTCAGGTCATGATCTCAGGGCCATGAGATTGGGCTCTGTGCTCTGCACAGAGGTCTGCTTAAGACTGTCTTTCCCTCTCCCCCTCAAATAAATAAATGTTTAAAAATAAAATAAATAGGGTGCCTGGGTGGCTCAGATGGTTAAGCATCTGCCTTCGGCTCAGGTCATGATCCCAGGGTCCTGGAATCGAGTCCCACATCGGGCTCCCTGCTCCTTGGGAGCCTGCTTCTCCCTCTGCCTCTCTCTCTCTCTCTCTCTCTGTCTCTCATGTGAATAAAATCTTTAAACTCTCTCTCTCTCTCTCTCTCTTCGGGGCGCCTGGGTGGCTCAGTCATTAAGCGTCTGCCTTCGGCTCAGGTCATGATCCCAGGGTCCTGGAATCGAGTCCCACATCGGGCTCCCTGCTCCTTGGGAGCCTGCTTCTCCCTCTGCCTCTCTCTCTCTCTCTCTCTGTCTCTCATGAATAAATAAATAAAATATTTAAAAAAATAAATAGGTAGGTAGGTAGATAGACAGGCTTACTAACTCAGTGATACTGTTTCCCATATGGTTAAGTGGAAGAGAGCCCAAATAAAGGAGGCAGTTGAAAAAGGAAGAAAGGTAGGGAACTGTGCTAATGTGAGCTGCAATTGCTGTCCTGAAGATTTGTGCTTTGCCTCCATTTTCTTCTGTGGGAGGAAATTAGTATTTATGTCAGGATCATCTTCAGATGAGGAGGATTCTCCCCGGTTCCAAGAGGAAAGGGAAGAGGTGCTCTTGTTATGCCTTGGACACTTGTCTCCAGTTTTTAGGGACCAGATTGCAACCGCTAGTTGAGACCTTGTACTTTCTCTTGATTAACCTACAGTCACAGCAGATTCCCAGGTGCAGGTGAGGTTTCTGCTCCTGGCTCACAGCCTTCTGCGAAGTTGTTTGTAGGTGAAAGGTTGAGAGGCGCCTGGATGGCTCAGTTAGTTAAGTGGCCAACTCTTGATTTCTGCTCAAGTCATGATCTCAGGGTTGTGAGATGGAACCCCGCCTCGGGCTCTGCGCTCAGCAGGGAGTCTGCTTGAGATTCTCTCTCTCCCTCTTCCTCTGCTCCTCCCCCTTCTCTGGCTCTCATTCTCTCTCTCTAATAAATAAATAAATCTTTTAAAAAGAAAAGAGGGGCACCTGGGTGGCTCATATGGTTAAGCATCTGACTTCAGCTCAGGGTTCTGGGATCGAGTCCTGCAAGGAACTCTGTGCTCAGCAGGAGGTCTGCTTCTCCCGCTCCCTCTGCCCCTCCCCCTGCTCATGCTCTCTCTCTCTCTCTCAAATAAATAAAATCTTTAAAGGAAAAAAAAAGCTCTCTCTCTCTCTCTCAAACGAGGACCTGCAGGGTGAAGAGTCCGTGAAGCCGGGCATCAGTGAGGGTGAGGGGTGAGACAGCCCTTGTCAGCACCATAAGAGCAGTCCCTGCTGCGGCCCCACTCTCCTCTTTGTTCAGCCGCTTTCTCCCTCCTTTTCATCTCCCAGGGTCTAGCATGCTGTGAGGAAGTTTTATTCTCTTCACCCTCCAAGGCCAAGCAGTCTGTATCCTGGTGAAGTTATCTAGCTTGGAAGCCCTGAGGCTCGGGGTCTCGGTCCACCCCAGATGGGGCTGGCAGGATTGAATTTCCCAGAAGTCCAGACCCATGTCACCTGCTGCCACTACCCATCGCCCTGCTGGACCCGAACCCAGGCCTGTGTCGGTGACCTAGCTAACACGTACCGAGTACTGACCTGTGGGTCATATACCCCTCTCCCCGCCCTCCCTCGCCCCTAGAAGCTGAAGAGTTGCGCCATCCTCCAGCAGTCCCATGAGTGATGACACGGGGTGCAGGGTCACCTGTGTGCAGCTGGGGAGCGCGGACAGGAAGTGCTCGCCAGCAGTTCGGCTCTGGAGTTGCTCTCAGCAGCTTTCTCTGCCTCAGTTTCTGTTAGTGTTTTGAGTTTCTGGTAGTATTTTACTTTATTTTATTTTATTTACAAGTATACTTTCAAAACAGGTCGTTGCCCCGTGATATCCTCAGCTAAGACCGCATAGCCAGGAGGAGCTGCCCTCTACTCTTACCCCTGGGGCTGGAGGGGTCACGATTGGGGGTCTTGGACTGAAGTCTCTCCGTTTTCTCCATGTTGTGTTCATTTCCTCTCTAGCAAATGGGAAAAGCCAGCAGCAGGACGCACCACCAGCAGTCCGGGCTGGAGTGACAGCTGTGGTTTGGAGAAAGGGCTGTGTGGTGGCTACAGAGAACCTGTCTCGCTGCTTTTTCTCCCCTGTTCTCCCCCCCCCCGCCCCCCCGCCCCGTTTCCGGTGCTTTCATTCATTAGCAGATATTCGTTGCCCCCCCGTCCTGTGTGGAGCACTGCGCTAGGTTCTGGAGAACGCTGTCCTCAGGTGGCTCCCAGTGTAGTGGGAGAGACAGTCACGACACTGAGGAGCATGGGTGTCAGGGGTTCACAGAGGCCCACTGGCTCCCTCTGCAAACTTAATGAAGTCAGGGAAGGTGGCTGGCTGAGGGTGACATCAGAGTTCCCTGGAGGATGAGGAAAAACAGCAGCACAGGGGTTGGGACCAGAAGGTGCAGGCACCTGGGGCGCGTGCAGGGGGAGAGCAAAGGCACAGAAGGTGGGAGGGGCTGAGGAAGTTCAGGGAGTTCTGGATGCCCTAGGGCACAGCTACGGGTAGAAGAAAGATCCAGACTGTGAAAGTATGTAGATGCTGTGCTGAAGAGTTTGGGTTTTATCTGGAGAGTTATGGAGAATCCCTGGAGGGTTTCGAGCAGGGGGTTGACATCAGATCTGCCTTTTCAAATGCTCACTCTGGCAGCCATGTGGAGAGGGTATCTGAGGGCTGCGGGACCCAGGGTGGACAGACAAGGCGGGGGCTGCAGCAGCGACCCGGACGTCCCCGGGTCTCAGAGGGTCTCCTTTTCTCACTCTTGCAGTTGTGAGTGCAGAGGTGCTCAGAGCCCAAGAAGAATGGGAAGCTGTGGACAACATCCGGACAGAGACAGGTAACTGCAGGAATGGCACTGTGCTACTAAGAAAGGCACCATCCACGTGTGGCTAATGTTTCTGTGACCCTGGGATTAGGACACAGAATTCCTGAGAGTTCTCCTTTTAGCTCCCTAACATAGAATAAAATATCTTTCCAAATCCACCTCTGGAGGAAATGGGAATGAATGCCATGGGAAAAGGGCTGCCACCTGCTCAGACCTGAGAGAAGACGGGGAGGACCTTGATCAGGGTCCACTTCCACAGGGTGATGAGGTTGGGCAGAAGGATGGAGGCAGGCAGCCAGAGAGAACAGGTGGTTCACTGGACAAGGAAGTCTCTGGAGATAGGGGCTGAAGCCATCTGCTGGAAGGCTCTGAGGGCTGGGTAAAAATTCTCACTCCCTTTTCTGACAGGTTTGGACGGAGCTATAGGAGGGTAGAACTCGGACCCATATCTAGCTTGAGCTCTACTTGGGCTCCTGGAAAGTCATTACAGTGGACTGTGTCAGTCATCCCCGAAATTGCTGATACATTCACTCCCTGTGGACTGTACCAGAAGATGGAGAGGGGGGTCATCCATATACAGGGTGTGAGAAAGGGCAAAGTGGAAGTGAGGAAAGGCCCCTAAACAGACCTTGGCATGCTCCCACATGGGGACCTACTCCAGGCAGTGACTTGCCTCCTCACAGATGAGTGGGATGGGACCCCCTGCCGGGCAGATCTGTCCCTACTCACTGCAGAGGTTGACCTAGCAAGCCTCTGAACAGCCCGGTCTAAGAAGGGGCCTGCCCAGCAGAGAATGCCAGCCCCTTAAAAGAAGATTGGTTTGAGCTGTAGATATCTGTTGTCTGCCACTGAAAGCCAGTGTTTGGCTTAGAGGTGACAACCAGAAGGCCCTCAATAAATGTTCGCTGACAGAATGACTACCATTATAAGTCTGAGAGTGTCTTGCCTTTTGCCACAGGGAGCCAGGCCAGCGCAGACCAGCCTGGGCAGCTGATCTCCTTCAATGAGGCTCTGCAGCATTTCCAGACCGTGGACCTCTCTTCCTTCAAGGTATGAAAGTAGGGAGGTTTGGGGTCTCAGGCAAAACACCTTCCCAGGAGCCAGGTTTCTATCCCACCAGCCTAGGGCACCAGGCAAGCAAGATGGAAGCTTCCAGTTGAAGACCTTACCTCATCTAAGAAATCTTGGAGCACAGAATCATCGGTAGCCAAGGACCCAGGCTTCATGCCGGACCCCAGGGGCCTTTTTGGGACTGTGTCCCCAGAGCTCTTGTGGCCCTGCCATACACAGGTCTGTGTAGCTGCTCCCTCCTCTTCCCTCTTAGGGATGGGGAGGTCTGGAATCAAATGCTAGACAGTTCCTTAGGGAAGCAAGGCATTCTGTCTAGAAAGCTGAGTAAGTCATGGCCATTCACTCTTCCATTCCTTCAGGGAACCAGAAATTATTTGGGAATTTTAAAAATATGTGGGGTTGGAAAAAGAAGAAACATTGAGGAGAATAAAAGCTGGTGGGCTTCCTGGGGCATCTTGAGTGACTAATAGTAGTTTTAGAAGATTGTGATTTCAGATCTTCAACTTAAAACCTGGTTCAAGAGAGGCTGAAAAGTCAAGAATCATGGGTGATTGATGGGACGCAGAGGGCCAGAAGCTACCAAAATCAGAATATTCTAAGACCTGCAGCAGTGGCCCTTGAGCAATAAGTCAGTAGGACCTGGTTTAGGAGGTGCTCTTGTGGTATGGACAGAATGCTCCAGCAAACTCTCAGGTAGCCAGCTCCAAAAAGTCCCCACTAACCTCCCCACCTCACTGGCTCTCTCACCCTGGAAGTTGAGAGGACTGCTAGGCTTTATCATTTATGCCCTCTGCAGAGAGAGAGAGAGATCTACAAAAGGCAGAGCAGTCCTGCTGGGAAACCAGAGAGAGAGAGAGAAGACCAAAGCAGGGGTCCCCATGCCAGCCATCTCTGGCAGTCAGTGGGAAGTAGCTCTGGAGAAGCCCAAAGGAGCAAATGCAGACAACGGGCTAATAATGCCTATACCTGGGGACATCTCCTTTTCTTTTCTTTTCTTTTCTTTTCTTTTCTTTTCTTTTTTTTAAGATTTTATTTATTTATTAAAGAGAAAGCAGGATCAGGGACGGGGGGAGCAGAGGGAGAGGGAGAAGCAGACTCCCCACCGAGCAGGGAGCTGGATGTGGGGCTCAATCCCAGGACCCCGAGATCATGACCTGAGCTGATGGCAGACGCTTAACCAGCTGAGCCACCGGGCGCCCCAGGGACATCTCTTCTACTTACAAAAATCCTGGGAGCCAGCAGACCCTGTCTCTAGAGGTGGAGCAGGGGCTTCACAGTTCCTGCCCCCTTCCAAGGCCCAGAGACCAGCCAGTTAATTGGCGGAGCTACTTCTTTCTGCAAGAACAGTCCCTGTACTGACCCTGATGGTAAGTTCATTAGAGCAGGTGAACCCAGCCCTCTGCCCATTGCCTGCAACTTCCTCCCCAGAAAAGAATCCAGCCAACTATTCGAAGGACGGGGCTCGCCGCCCTCCGGCACTGCCTCTTCGGGCCTCCGAAGCTCCACCAGGGTCTCCGAGAAGAAAGGGACTTGGTCCTGACCATTGCTCAGTGTGAGTGCACAGGTGCTGCCACAAGGTAGATGCTGCATATGTGGTCAAGCGGAGAGCACTGTTTATCCTCCTGTTGTGGAGGCTAAGCCAGAGGTCTTGCATGTACCGTGTTGGCAGGGAGAGTGGGAGCTATGGGGTGAAAATGTGGGAGAACACAGTCTCTTGAGTACAATCCAGATCTATCTTGTCTGAACTGTTCTCTGAGAAACACTCAGTCCTCCCCGGAGGGGCAGGCAATCCGACAGAGAGTGGGGATGTCTTTTCGGGCAGGTGGCCTGGATAGCCAAGACCCAGTGCATGGCCGAGTCCTCCAGACCATCTACAAGAAGCTGACTGGCTCCAAGTTTGACTGTGCCCTCCATGGAGACCACTGGGAAGATCTGGGCTTTCAGGGTAAGAGACAGGAATTGTTCATCTTTTCATCCTTGACCCCTGAATCCAGGGCTAGAATGAGAGCCCAGATAGTCCTCTTCCTGTCGTACTAGCGCCCTGAGGTAGGATATCGGGGGAGAGGGTACAGGAAATGCAAAGGCCCTGAGGTGAGCACATTTATTGTGCTTGAGAAATAGCGAGGAGTATGGCTGAAGTGGAAAGGTCCCTTGTGGCCTTATAGGCCGTTGTCAGACATTTACTCTAAGAGAGATGGAAAGCATCAGAGTGATAGGATTTGGTTTTTTCTTTTTTTCTTTTTCCTTTTAACACAGATAAAAATTTTGCTTTATATTATTTTATTTTTTGAGTGAAACAAAATTATTTCAGCTGTTTTTGGATTATGCTACTCTTTTTTCAGAATCATATCAAGTTACATTTATGTGGAATAGGAAAATGTCCTCATTTAAAAAGGAAATTTTATGTACGCATAATTAATTGGTCCATTGGTATTGGCAACATGTTTAAGTCCCTCATCTATAATATAATTATCTTATTTTCCTCCATATGCAATGAGAATCATGTCAGTGTTACGATTTTTGTTTCAACCATCAAACAATTTAGAAAACGCAAGAGGAGGAGCAAAGGTGGCTGTATTTACCCATATGCTTACTCTTTCCACTGTTCTGTTTTCCTTTCTTATTAGTCCAAGATTTCTCCTTTTATCATTTCCTTTCATTTTCAAGAACTTCCTTTAAGCGTTTTCTAAAGTAGGTCTGCTGGTGATAAATTCTCTTGGTTTCCCTTCATCTGAGGAAGTCTTGATTTCCCCTTCACTCCTCAAGGATCATTTCTCTGGACAGAGAATTCCAGGTTGACAGTTTTTTTCTTGCAGCTCTCGCAAACTGCTACTCTCTTCCGGCCCAGAAAGCTACTGTCATTTGCATTCTTTCTCCCTGAGAGGCAAGGAGTTGTTTCTCCCTCTCTGCTTTCAAGATCTTTTAGAGTTTGCAGGAGTTTGACTGTGTTGTGTCTTAGTGTGGATTTCTTTGGGCTTACCCTATTGGGTTTGCTCAGCTTCTTGAATCTGTAAGTTTAATGTCATTTGCCAAATATGGTCTATCTTCAGCCATTATTATTTCACGTACCTTTTTTCCTTAATTCCAGTGTAGTCCACATACAATGTTACATTAGTTTCATGTGAATAATATAGTGATTCAGTAATTCCATACATCACCTAGTGCTCATCAAGATAAGTGTACTCTCAGCCCTTCACCTATTCACCCATCTCCCCACCTGCCTCCCCTCTGGTAACCATCTGTTCTCTATAGTTAAGAATCTGGGTTTTTTGTTTGTCTCTTTTTTTCCCCTTTGTTCATTTGTTTTGTTTCTTAAATTCCACATGAGTGAATACTTGAAGTACTTTTCTCAGCCCCATACTTTCTCGTCTCTTGTGGGACTCTGATGACACAGATGCTAGATCTTCTCTGTGCTGTTCCACAGGTGAGAGGCTGTGTTCATTTCTTTGGATCTCTGTTCCGTAACTCACAGATCTCCAAGGCTCTGTTCATTTTGTTTTGTTTTGTTTTTTCTCCCTGATGTTCAACAGATTGGATAATTTCTATTGTTCCATCTTCTGTTTCACCAATTCTTTCCGCTGTTGTCTATTCTGCTCTTGAGCCCGAGTGAGTTTTTAATTTTAGTTATATTTTCTGGTTGTAAGTTTTTTATTTGGTTCTTTATACCTGATATTTCTTTACTGAGACTTCCTATTTTTACATTTTTTTCAAACTGTGTAATTATTTATCAAAGGCATTTTTATGATAACTGCTGTAGTAGTTTTCTATTGTTGCTGCAACAAATTACCACAAATTTAGCAGCTTGAAACAACACAAACTTATTAAAGTTAATTTATTTATTCAAGTAATCTGTACACCCAACATGGGGCTCAAGCTCACAACACTAAGATCAAGAATCACATGCTCTTCCAGTGGAGCCAGCCAAGTACCCCACAAAACAAACTTACTCTCTTATAGCCCCGTAGCTCAGGAGTCCGACACAGGTTCACTGGGGTAAGATCACTGTGGCAGAGGGCTGCATTGCTTTTTGGAAACTCTAAGAAAAACTCCATTTCCTGGCCTTTTCTATCTTTTAGAGGCCACGTCCACTCCTCCTCCTCCAAAGCCAGGAACAGAGTATCTCCCTGAGCCTGGTTCTGTCCTCACATCTCTTTCTCTGATTCGGTGCTTCTGCCTTCTTCTCTCACTTTTAAGGACTCTTCTGAATACATTGGGCCCACCCAGAGAATCCGGGATAGTCTCCCTATCTGCTGATCGGCAGCCTTAATTCTACCTATGATCTTAACTTCCTCTTGCCATGCAACAAAATATATTCCTAGGTTCTAGGGATTCGGACAAGGACGTCTTTGGAGGGGCCATTATTCTGCCTATAACTGCTGCTTTAAAATCCTTGTCAGGTAATTCCATCATCTGTGTTATCTCAGTGTTGCTATCTATTAAGTATCTTTTCTCATTCAAATTAAGATTTTCCTAGTTCTTGGTGTAACAAATGATTTTTTTTTTTTTATTGTATCCTGGACATTTGGGGTATTATGTAATGACACTCTGGATCTGCTGTAAACCTTTTATTTTAGCAGGCATCCTCTGACACCGAGCCAGTGGGGGAAGGAGGATGTCACCCCATTACTTCTGGGCAGGGGTAGAAATTTAGGTACCCCATTTGGCCTCTGCTGGTTCCACTGGCTAAGAGGGGCACAGGTGCCTCAGTACATGACTCATTACAGGAGTCCCATGTGGACTCCACTGACATCACAAGGGTGTGGGGCTCAGTCCAAGCTCCCCAATATGCTCACACTACCTTGGTGAAGCTAAGGGGCACCTCGTTACAGTCAGGCAGGGGTGGCCAAAGCCTTGAAGCTCATGGGAGAAGGAACTTCATTTCGCATTGCTCACCATCACCCTTCAGTTACTCATCTCGGTTACAGGAGCAAATCCAGCCACAGACCTGAGAGGAGCAGGCTTCCTTGCCCTCCTACACTTGCTGTACCTGGTGATGGACTCAAAGACCTTGCTGATGGCCCAGGAGATTTTCCGCCTGTCTCGTCACCATATCCAGGTTGGGCTTTGTGGGGAAGCCAGAGGAGAGGGCTGTGGAGCCATTGTGGGTTCAGGGTGCTCCTGAGCAACCAGGAGGGCCTCACGGGGGCTGTCTCTAGTTGCCCAGGGCTCTCAGGACAGCTGAGGCAAACCAGGACCAGGCTTCCCCCACTAGCCTGACCTGGGCTAGAATCTGAGCTCCACCGCTTGTTAGCGTGTGTCTCAAGCAAGTGCTTCAACTCCTCAGAGCCTTGGTTTTTTCATCTGTAGAATGGAGATCATGGACACTTCAGCTGGACAATTAGGAAAATTAAATGAGGTGTGTACAAAGGCACTAGGCATAGCTGTGATGCTAATGTGTCAACTCACTGTCCTCCCTGAGGACATCCCTTAAACAGTACTAATAGGTTCTCCTAACCCTGAAGGAGGAGAGTTAGCCTGTATGTGCCCCAGAGGAGATCTACCTATGAGGGTCAAGGGACACATGGTCTTACTGATAGGCCAGAAGTGACTTCTGTAGCCTTTGGTCTGTCCAAGCCTTCTCTGGTGTTGGGTTTAATGGTTTTCCTAGGCAGTAAAAGGTGGTAGTCCCGCTGTTTTAGAAAACAAATCTGACCCATATCCTGCCGTTCATCTATTCCACACGTGGAATTCATCCACTAAACAAATTTCTATTCAGCATTCCCTATGCTAGTTATTGTGCTTAGTGCTTGGGGGTACATCAGTGAACAAAGATCCCTCTACCAGAGAAGACAAGGCAGTGAGCCTAACACATAAATAAATGATAGAGTACATTCAAAGGTGGTGAGTGCTAAGGAGAAAAAACAAGTAGGGTAAGGTTAGGAGAATATGGGGAGTATTTTATGGGGTGCTCAGGGTAGCTCTCACAAGAGGGAGTTAAATCAGACCTTGAAGGAGGTGAAGATGTTGGCCCAGTTGGTGTCTGGGGGAAAGCATTCCACACAGAGGGAGCAGCTAGAGCAAAGGCCCTGAGGAAGGAATGTGTCTGGCACTTGAAGGGGTAGCAGGGAACCAGCTGTAACAGAAGGAGCCCAGGAGAGCAGTCAGAAGGGAGATCCTACGGCTAACAGGGACCAGACGGCAGAGGGCCTGGTAGGCTATGATAAGGACTTTTGATTTTACTCTGAATAAAGTGAGGGTTTTTGCAGCCTGGAATACATGATCCAACCTAACACCTTTAAGTGTATCGTATCAGCTGCTAGGTTGAGAAAAGTCTATAGTGAGTACTTTTATAATCAAGTCAGAGATGATGGGTATTTTCAGAGGAGGTGGTGTGAAGTGGTCAGATTCCGGATGTAGAATATTGAGCATATGGGCTTAAGAAAAGAGAGCCAATTGGGGCGCCTGGCTGGCTCAGTTGGAAGAGCATGTGACTCTTGATCTCGGGGTCGTGAGTTCAAGCCCCACATTAGGAGTAGAGTTTACTTAAAAAAAAAAGAGAGAGAGAGAGAAAGGAAGGAAGAGAGAGAGAGAAAAGGAAGGAAAGAAAAGAAAGAAGGAAGGAAGGGAAGAAAGAAAAGAAAGAGAAAGGAAGGGAGAGGAAGGAAAAGGAAGAAAGGAAGAGAGAGAGAAAGAAAGAAAGAAAAGAAAAAGAAAGAACGAACCAGCATCTTTTTCTCATGGATTGATGATGGGTGTGAGAAAAAGAGGTTTTTAGTCTGAGTAACTGGAAAGATAGAGTGGCCATCAACTGAAATGGAAAAGAAAGAGCAAGTTTGGGTGGGGTTCAGTTTGCCATACAAATTTCAGATTGAGGTTTTCATTTTTGGCAAGAACACCAGGAGTGATGTACCTTTCTCTGTGCCTCAGCTCAGAATGTCTTACTACTGGGGTGGTTGTCTTGGGTCGTATGGTCAAGGTGAGGTCTGCCGGGTTTCTCCACTGTAGTTATTATTTCTCCCTTTGTAATTAATAAGTATCTTGGGGAAAATACTTTGAGACTGTGCAAATATTCTGTTTTTCCTCAAACTTTGTTCTAATGGTGGTTTTCTGTTTCCCTCATTTTCTCTCACATTTATTAATTGGAAGAATTCCAGTTGTCTGTGTTCTTCTATTTATTTATTCATTCAATTACTTTTTATATCAGTGTGGGCTCCTGGATATTTATTTTATTCTATGGGTTATAACCCAGTACTATTGTTACTTATTTTGTTGCTCACATTGTTTCAGCTTTGGCCATTTTAGAAGCTCCTTCAGGTCAGCACTTGCGCTCTTTCGTATGCCCTGTTTTGTTTTGTTTTTTAATAAAGATTGTATTTATTTAATTTAGAGAGAGAGAGAGACAGAGATAGAACATGAGCAGGGGAGTGGGGAGAGAGAGAGAGAGAGAGTCTGCCGAGCCGGGAGCCTAATGCGGGGCTCGACCCCAGGACCCTGGGATCATGACCTGAGCCAAAGGCAGATGCTTAACGACTGAGCCACCCAGGCGTGCCCCCCCTACCCCACCCCCTGCCGCCTCATACCCTGTTTTGAGCACTTTTTGGCTTTCTGGACACCAGAAGATGCCATCTTATATTTTCCCTGTATGATTTCCAGCCCTGGAATTAACCACTTCTCCAAGGAGCTCTCGCTCCTTTAATTGGAGAATGACGTTTGAAAGTGAGAGCGGAGGGCCAGGTATGCACGCTGCTCGTAAGTTCTCACCCTTCTAGGCCCTCTGAGTGGACAGAGCCTGGAATCTATGTCTGTGGCACAGGTTCGCTCCCAGCTCGGGTAGGAGTGGCCTGAGGTGGCGAGCTCTCCTGTCCTGCCCCGGCTGCACCTCGCACACAACAGGAAGGTGGTGTGCCCGGATACTGCCTGAGGGAGAGGAGCCCGCGCAAGTAAGAGGCCAAAGGTCACACCTGCAACATTTTAGTCAGATCATTTTACGTCAGAGGGCTGGAATTGGTCAGGCTGGGGTTGCCAAAACAGACTGTTGCAGTAACAGCGTTGTGGGCCGTGTGATGTAGTTTTCACCATGTCTGCTGCTTCTTTTGTAACATGGGAAAATAATTCCAGCCCTGCAGAATTATTCTAGGTTGGAGATAAACTATGTGAAGTTTCAAGCGCATTAGTCATTCGGTGAGTGTCAGTTATCAAGGTAACTTTTGATTTCCAAGAATAAAAGTACAGCACACACACACACACACACACACAAAACACACGTGCGCACACATGCGCGCAACACAACCGTTAGTAAGGTAGATGCCTTTTTTATTTTTAATTTATTTATGTGTGTGTGTGTATCTTAGGTGGATTCCTTTTTTTTAAACCCAAAAGTTCTTGAATACAGAACAAATAATCATATGGTTCCTGCCACTGGGGCAGTTTTTCATTTCTAATGTCTTCTCAGTATCTCTGTATATTTATGGGAAAAGCACCTATTAAATCTTAAGGCTCGGGCGCCTGGGTGGCTCAGTCGGTTAATCATCTGACTCTTGGTTTCAGCTCAGGTCATGAGATCGAGCCCTCCATCAGGCTCTGCGCTCAGCATGGAGTCTGCTTGCCCCTCCCCCTCTGCTCCTCTCCTTGCTCATGCTTTCTCACTCTCTCTCAAATAAATAAATAAAATCTTTAAAAAATGTTTTAAATAAAAATTAAAAAATAAATCTTAAGGCTTCACTTATGCCTGTCTATTCCAGGAAACACTGGAGGAGGCAAGAGTGGGACTTAATGAGTATCTGGTCTTGAGATATATTGAGGCCCCACAAGTTGAGAATGTGGGCATTTGCTGTGGTCTTCATGATGCAGGGAGGTAATTTCTGGGTTAAGTTTGAGAACTGTACCTATTAGCTTCTGCAATGATGCAGTCTCTTGCAGCAACACTGCTTCACCATAATAGACTCCCAGAGTACCTCAGCAATCCAGCCCCTCATTTCATTTTATTTTATTTTATTTTATTTTTTTAAAGATTTTATTTATTTATTTGACAGAGAGACAGCGAGAGAGGGAACACAAGCAAGGGGAGTGTGAGAGGGAGAAGCAGGCTTCCTGCGGAGCAGGGAGCCCGATCCCAGGACCCCGGGATCATGACCTGAGCCCAAGGCAGACGCTTAATGACTGAGCCACCCAGGCGCCCCTATTTTATTTTTTAAAGATATTTTTCATTTATTAGAGAGCATGAGCATGAATGGGAGGAGGGGCAGAGGGGGAGGGAGAGAGAAGCAGACTCCCCACTGAGCACAAAGCCCTATGAGAGGCTCCATCCCGGAACCCCGAGATCGTGATCTGAGCTGAAGTCAGATGCTTACCCAGCTGAGCCACCCAGGCACCCCCAACCCCTCATTTTAGATGGAGGCCCAGAGAAGGGAAATGACTTGCCGAAGGTCTTACAGCTAATTCATATTTCCTATAGGTGGTCTCTGACCTCAGTTTCTCCCTTCTTGTGATTTATGAAGGTTCTCTTATAAGAGCTTCCTGCAGAAATATGGAAGCCAGGATAGAGGGTTATTGCCAACTCAGAATTCCTCATTTGAATGAGGGGAGGGAGCCTGCCGTTCAGGTTATCTGTGGGAGGAGCATCCCAGGCAGAGGGAGCAGCGGGAGAGGAGATGCTGGGAACTTGATCAGCAGGGACCCAGACTGACCAGTTTGACCAATCTGTTTCTCATTCCTTCACCTTCTGGCCTCTGTGGGATTTACTGGGGATTTACGTTTACTCCTCCACAATATGCATGTCGGACAATAAGATGGAATAGCAGCTTAACCTAATAAAGTAAGAGGGCTGGCACAGGCAGCAGGAAGCTAGACACTAGTTCCATCTGTGTTATTATGGAGCTATGATTTGAGACAAGTCACTTAGCCTCTCTGGGCCTTAGTTTGGCCTAAACAATTCTAAGGTCCCTTCCAGATTTATTGTGTAATTCCTTGAACTATAAGCACTTCCAAGGTTTTAAAGTAACACTTGACCTCGAGCCCTTATGAATCTTGAAAACACCATTTTCCAGGAGGCGTGTGTGAGACCAGAGGAGCAGCTGGGGGACACCGCCCCTGCCCGCAGCCAGTCCTGTTCTCTCCTGAGGGGAGGACTAAAGTTCCAGGTACCCGTGGTACATCCTGCTAAAGGGAACTGGCCAAAAAATATACAAGTGCCGGGGTGAGAGGCGGGCAGACTCCCACAAGTCCCGGCAGGGACTTAGCCCACGCCATGCTGAGAAGCGGAGCTGTTACACAAACACGGAGGCACAGGGCCCATCGGGCTATTTGCTGGTGGGTGAGGAAGCACCTTCTAATCGTGCTTAGTCACACACACACTTCTGTAGCCTTCTGAGCAGTCTCCATCCATTGTTTCATTCCGCCAACATGACAGGCTGGCGAAGAGGGAGGGCAGCGATGATCCTTGCAAATCTGTTTTCCAGCAAAGAAATGTGAGGGTCAGAGAGGTAAAGCTAGTAAGTGGTGAAGCTGGGCCTGGGACCTGCCTTCTGACAGCAGGCCTAGCAGTGGGCTCCTTACAACAGCCGTGGTCAGCCAGCAGCCCAGTTCAGAGGCCCAGGCCCCTCCCCAAAACTACTGGGTCGAAACTCCAGGGCTGCTGAAACTGTATCAGCAGCCCCCACAAAAGATGACTCGGTCTTCCTCGCTTTAGGATTCAAAGGTGGTTAAGCCCGAGTGTGAGGGATGAAGAAAAATGAAATCTTAAATGGAAACTCAAAATGGTCCAGGTCTGATGTTCTCTGCTGTCCCTCAGTCCATTTCCTAAACACAGCCTCCAGGTGGTATTTCGGTTCCAAGCAACACTTCTCAGGGCCAATGGAACTGCTGGAGAAAAGGAGACATTTAGATCTGAATTCCAGTTTTTCCCTGCTTTTTAATAAGTGGGCTTGGTAAGAATGTTCCCAAGAATGAGTGAATGCTAGGTTTAGATCCTCTGTTAATTATGTTGCTACCGTATTCTTGTTCCCATATTTATTTTTAGACTGAGAAAAGGCAAGGGAGGGGGCAGTCTTATACAAGGATGTGGTAGGTAGGCAGTACACGAAGGCGTGAATGCGTGGCCGCGGACCTCAGCCACTCACGTTGGGGCAAGGGTAACGATGGTGGGCAGTTGTTAGCAGCTCCTTGGGCCAGCCCTGTGCTTAGTATTGTGCATATGTGATCTAAATTACTTCCGATGGTAACTCTGGGAGTGGGTCCGGGGATAGATAATAGAAAATGTGAACTGTAGGTAAAAAACCCATCTTGTAGAGTGTTTGTGATGTTAGTGACTTGACCCCACCCAGCATGGCACGTGTGTCAGGGTCCCCAGGACCACCCCCAGTTCGATGATGCGCTGGAGGACTCACAGGACTTGGCCTGTAGTCGTACGCACAGCTATGATTTAGTCCAGCAAAAGCAAAACCAGCAGAGGGCAGCAGTGCATGGGACAAATCTATAGGAAATCAGGCGTGGTCTTCCTTCCAAGAGTCCTCTCCCGGTTGAATCACATGGAACATGCTTAATTCCTCCAGCATCAAATTGTGCAGCACGGGAAACGTTGTCAGCCGGGGAGCTCGCTATAGAGAGATTCAATGCCCAAGGGTTTATGGGGGGCAGTCGTGCCCATCTGTGTAGCACATACCCAAATGCCAGAATCACAGAGAAAAGGCAGATACTCAGCATAAACCATATTGTTTGTATAAACAGCTGAGGCGCATGAATCATCCTGAGGGAATGGTGGGAACCCTCCTCAAATCCAGGTTCCCAGGTGCCAGCCAGGGGCCACCCTTGCAAGCAGGCCTTTCTAAAGACAGCAGTCTCAGATCCTGGTGCGTTAACTCTCTCCTGCACAGCACTCAAAGGTACTTCCTAATGGGAAAGCTAAGTCTCATATAGTGCAGGTGGCCTTTCTAAGGACACAAAGCCAGTAGGTGGCCCGGCCAAGATCTGGAACCCAGATGCCACAGAAGACCCCGAGAAAAATCTTTATGGAGCAGAAGACCCTCGACAGTTCAGTGCTGTCAGATAGAACTTTCTGCAGTGAAGAGACTGTAATATATCAGCACTGTTCGATATAGTAGCTACTGAGCGCATGTGGCTATTGAGCACTTGAAATATGGTTAATAGGACTAAAGAGTTGAGGTTTTTTCAACTAAGGAGTTGACTTTTTTTAATTTTGCTTAATTTTTTAAAAACGATTTTATTTATTTGAGAGAGAGAGAGAGCACACAAGCAGGGCGGTGGGGGTGGTGGGGGGCAGAGGGAGCAGGAGAAGCAGACTCCCCACTGAACAGGGAGCCTGACACGGGGCTTGATCCCAAGATCCTGAGATCATGACCTGAGCCAAAGGCAGACGGTTCACCGACTGAGCCACCCAGGTGCCCCAAAGTTGTTTAATTTTTAATTAATTTAAACTTAAATGGTTCTCTGTGGCTACTTGCTGTCATACTGGACAGCACAGTTATGCATCATAATGTAATGGCTTTTCTTCTCAGGGGAAGCAGATGGGATAGACTTTGGCTCTTGCTGTAAACTAATGAGTGCACTGATCTGTGGGTCCCTCTCAGTGGGTGTCCTTGGATGTATGCAACAGTGGAAACTAACATGTAATATATGCAAATGCCCTGGGAAAAGCCCCTTTTCATTTTCTTAGGTTTTGTTATTAAAGAATAGGAAGGATGGGGCGCCTGGGTGGCTTGGTGGGTTTAGTGTCCGACTCTTGGTCTCAGCTCAGGTCTTGATCTCAGGGTGATGAGTTCAAGCCCCGCTTTGGGCTCCACACTGGGCGTGGAGCCTACTTAAAAAAAAAGAGAAAAGAAAAGAAAGGAGCTTGCCCCTCCAAAAATAAAGCATTAAAGTAGACCCCACAGCGGATTCTGAGGCCCCTCCTGGGGAAGCAGCCCCGGTGAACCCCATGCTGCCCCCTCTTTGACCCGCACAGCTTGTTCTCAGGCCTCCCGTTATTGACAAATGGGGTGTGCCAGCCAGTCAGGTTTCCTACCTACTTTGTGCCTGTGCCGTCTCTACTTTTGAATGAAGTGCTTTATGAGCAGTCAAGTAAGACGCCTAGAAAAGGGGAAAAGAGATTGTAGGAACCTGTACAGCTGGATAACCGAGCCTCACCCCTCCTGTGTTCAGCCTGACCCCAGGGGGTGGTGTGGTCCTTGGGCAGCACCACGGTGGGTCTGGTGAATGAAGGCCAAGGACAGCCCCTGGGTTGGGATGGGGAAGAGGCTGGAGAGCTTGCACAGGGCTTATGCCCGCCAGCCTGCGTGTGAATTATCCTCAGTTGGAATCCTGGTTCCACCGCCTCGGGAAGCTCATCTCGGGTCACTGAGTCCCAGCTTCCTCATCTGGGAAATGGGAGGATTATTGGGAAAATCAAGTGTGAACATCAGCAATGTCAGCTGCCGCCTCCCGGCCGTGGTTGCCACTGCTTCCAGGGGGCCATGCTGGGTTGTGGATGACGGGCCCAGAAGCCAAGAGCCGGGGCTGCCACTGACCCTTGCCTGCTCCATTCCAGCAATTCCCCTTCTGTCTGATGTCTGTGAATATCACCCGCATCGCAATCCAGGCATTAAGGGAGGAGTGCCTCTCCAGGTGAGTCCCCGCACTGCAGGCCAGCGCCACCCCCCACCCCTCCCAGGGCTGCTGGCTGGCTGACGAGAAGGACGCAGCAGAGCCTGGTTCCCTCCTGCTCCAGCCCCATTCTCCCAGCTCGTTCTGGAGACCTGCAGCTCCCCAGGGAGCCAGGACAGAGCACCCCACCCCCCAACCAGTCTCCCAACCCTGCCCTGGAGGCGAAGGCTGCTGGTGGAATGGCTCCCTGGGGGAATGGGGCTGGCGGAGGCACCCAGCTGCCAGCTGTGGTCCGTGGTCCGCTGCTGAGCACACCGCCCCCTTGTGCCGTAGGGAGTGTAACCGGCAGCAAAAGGTGATCCCAGTGGTGAACAGTTTCTATGCCGCCACCTTCCTCCGCCTCGCACATGTCTGGAGGACGCAGCGGAAGACCATCGCTGACTCTGGCTTTGTCCTCAAAGGTGTGCTCTTTCTTCTTGGAGAGGCCTGAACTCCCTAGTGTGTCCCCCCTCCCCCGCCCAGGTTCAGGGACTCCAGCATGGTTGCTAGACTGGTTTGGGCTGCAGTTCCCTTCCCCCTAGCCGCGCCCCCCGCCCCTTTCTCAAGCTCCAGCTGCTCAAAGTCTCCATCAGCCTACCACCCTCTGGGGCCTGCTAGCTCCCCTTTCTCTGCGCCCCCTCCCCCTCCCTTCTGGCCTCAGACCGAGGGTGGTCATATTTTCTGAATCAAAAGCTGGGTCCAACAGTTGGACTGGCCATTCAAAGTTGAGACTGTCCTGGTCAAGGTAGAAGGTGTGGTTGCTGTGGCTTTATCTGGTCCATCATCCTCCCTCTCTGGTGAGCTGTCCACCTTAGAAGACTCCTTCACCCTCCACTCCACAGGGTCTGGGATGGGGGTACTGCCTACGGCTGCTGGGCCCGGACTGGTGTGCAGTCCAGAGCCCGGCAAGCCTTTTGTTCTCCAATCCTCTGTTTCCAGACTTGGAGGTGTTGGCCAAGAAGAGCCCCAGGCGGCTGCTCAAGACCCTGGAAATCTACCTGGCTGGAGTGTCAAAGGGACAGTCCTCGTTGTTGGGAGCACAGAAGTGCTTTGGGCCACAAGCCCCTCACTCCAAGGATCTCACCTTCACAGGCGTGTGTGACCTGCCGCCACATTCATCTGAAGGCACGTGGCTGATCTGACCATCCCAAGGCTGACAGAGACTTAAAAGATGGGCCACAGGGGCATTGGGAGGGTGCATGGCACATTATGCCAGGCATACCCGGGCTGGGCCTGGTCAGGGAAGCCAAGGACCCTCACCCATGTGAGACATTAGGGATAGTTAGACCCACCCGCTCCCCACAGACCCGCCTCCAGAGCAAGGATTTGCCAGAATTGAGTTGAGCTAGTGGAGAGTTGGTTTCCAGGTAATCTCGATGAGTGGATGGATCATGAGGTGGGAAGGCCCTGCTTCGATGTTCCCCGTATGCCCACGCTGAGAGATACTCCCACGCCGAGGTGCCAGATTCTGGCTTGCTGGGCAGCAGGGCTCTCAGGCAATGGGTGTCCACAGGACAGGGACCCTGGAGCTAGAATTTGAAGGGAGAAGGTAGCCGTGGCAGCAGCCAGCGGGGGACAGCATGAACCAGGGCAAGAGGCCTTCTCACTGTCCTCTCCTAGGCTGGCATCCCGGCCGCTCTGGGGTTTCGGGCCTGGACTTATCCCACCCTCCCCTTTCCCCATCCCTCAGCCCCGCTGTTGATGACACAGAACTGGCTGTCCGGTAGGTGTCTCCATTGCTGCCCATCCAACTGCCCACCAGCTGGGCACCCCCTTGCTGCACGCTCCCCACCCCATGGAGGTGTGCAGTTCCCATCAGGGATGGCTTTCCAGACTGGTTGAAGGAAGGAGGAAATTCACACACCAGCACTTTTTGAATAAAAGAATTGTTCCAGGTCAAGGGCCCCAGGTGTTTTCCTCCAAGACAAGCCTTGCCCCTTCCTGTGGCCCTGTTGTTCCAGGGCCTGGTGAGAGCCAGGGGCTCCAGGAGAGAAGGTTGCTCTGCCCCGGTCAGGCTCCCACTGAGTGTACATGGTGTCCATCCTGCACTTAGAGGCCAAGACTCCTTGTGCACTCTAGCCAGGGGGCAGGGCGGCCCTGGCTCTGGTTAAGATTGCTGTGAGGCCCCCACATGTTTTTTCCTACATTGGCTTCTGGGGAAGCTAGTAGCTCTGTTGCTCCATTCCTCTGGGCCAGGATATCCTGAGCTGGGGAGACCCCACTACACGGCTCTCCTGTCCTCTGTACTCCATCAAGTAGACCCATGGAAGACCACAGTCTCGCCCCTGCACGCTTCTCCAAGTGTAACCCACCGGAGCTGCGGTGCATTGCAGAGGCGGGACGACACATAGCCACCCTGGTATGGCAGAGAACTCCCCACTGCTCTTAGCAGGATGCCTCAAGGACAGGGCTGGTAACGGAAGGCAGTTTGCCTGTGCCATCTTGGCCCAACCTGAACTCATCCTTTGTCTACTTTACTTCCTCCTCCAGCCTGGGTGCTTAGTGGGCCTGCAGCAGTGGCCAACAGCTTCCTGGGCTTGGTGAGGCCGGGACGCAGAAAGGCTGTGACTCAGCCTCCACTTCAGAGTGTCCGTTCCGTAGCTCCTCCCCTGCAGATTCCTTCCGGTTGCTCTCAGACCAGAAGGCTAACTCCGCAGACCCGACCGTGAATGCCCAGCCTGCACTATGGCCGGGGACCAGTCTATGTGGGCTTCTAGCTGGAGGGGAGGCCAGTGGCCTCTGCAAGAGCCCTTTCTAACCAAGTCACTCCCTGTGTAATGCCCCCAGAGTGCTCAGCTTCAGACCTTGGGACATTAGCAACAACGTAGTCCAGGGATTAAGTTGTGGTTCTCTTGGGGAAGGGGGAGGGGGGCCTTTCACCCTTTGAAAGTAGATGCAAGAATCTTAACCTGTGCATTTTATTTAGGAAGGGCCTATCTAGGCCTTCCATGGGAGATGTAAAATGCTTCACAACCCTAAAAAGTCAGGATCTGGTGCCCCCTTCATCGCTCTCCTTTGCAAATCATCCCTGGCACATGCTGTCTGTGGACCACCGCACAGCTCCCCAGAGAGAAGTCGGGGGGATACACAGAGAAGCTGATTTTCCTGTGCTGTTTTGCACAAAATCAGGATGAACTTGGTTAGAATATGTTGGGGATGGAAGAATCCAGCTGATCAGAGCTCAGAAGCCACATCGCCCTTGGGGCCCAGGGGTGGGAGTGGGTTAGGACAGCTGCAGCAGCTCAGCCTGGCCTCCTGAACTCCAGTCCAGACTTACCAGCCTTGCTCCTGCCCCCGGATCATGCCCTCCCGGCTGGGAGCACCCTGAGCTACTCCGTTCTCCTATTTGGCTCTCTAGACTGATATTCCAGCCACCACCCATGATACGAGAGAATGAACTAAGGCCTAGACAAGGAAAAGCAACTTGCCCGGGAGGACACGGAGGCAGGGGAACATCCGATCCAGACTCCGTGACTCTCCACACTCGTCTGGGGCTTTCCCCGGCCCTACAGTGGCCCCGCGCTCATCGGCCTAACATGATGTGATGCGCCCATGCGGTGACAAACCAGACTTGCGCGCAGTGGAAAGAAGTTGTCCTCTTGGTCGGCAAGCATGTCATTTGGGAGCCGCCTCACGGTGGTTTCTCAGGGCAGCTGAGGAAATCCTGGCTCAAGCAGAACTGCGTCCCGAGCCTGCTGCACCAACCATGTCCCGGAGGGGTATGTGACTGAACTGAACCCTGGCTGCAAGCAAAGCCGGGGCCCGGTGCTGTGCCTCCTCTCCACCGGGTTCCCAGCGGTCCCTGCCAGCCCTCTGGGAACTCCGGGCCCCACTGCCTCGATGGTGCCAAGTCCGCTCCAGCCCCTGAGCTGGGCAGCGGGCGGCCACCGGGTCCTCCTCTGCCCCAGCCCGTGGATAAGGCCCGGTGACTAGTCGGGGAGTGAGGATTAGCTCAGGGCAGACGGTGAGGGCAGAGAGCGGGGGAAGCACTTGTCTCCTTTATTGAACAGCCGCGGGGCCACCTCCGCAAGGACCAGGCCAGCCAGAGGAGGAGAAAGCGGGCAGGAGGCAGGGGGCGCCCATCCTCATTTCCAGTCCTTGAAGAATTGCTTGAAGATGGGGCTCTCCCGGCCCTGGGGCAGAATCTCCACCTGCAGGGAGGATGGGGGAGAAGTCTAGCCCACGAGGTTCCCACCTCTGCCTCCACCAGGCCAGACCAGAGCGGAGCCACGGAGGAGGGTGCCGGGCGCCAGGCCTGAGTCCACATGGCTGTCCCGGCCTGGTATGCTCCTGGCCAAGAAATAAGCCAAGAGATGGGACACGGGCTGAGAAAACAGATTGCTGCAAGCACTGGGGTGCACAGTTCGAGAGACACACCAGTCATCGATGAGCCTTATCAGCTCCCCTCAGAATGACTCATGGAGTCGCCGTGCTGGAGCAGCGGGGGCAGGACGAGCCGGGGACAAGGGCCCAGAGGAGGCACACAAGCTGCCACATGAGTGCTGCCCAGCATCCTCTCAGGAAACACCGCGTGCTTTTGGGGCGCCTGGGTGGCTCAGTCAGTTGAGCATCTGACTCTTGGTTTCGGCTCAGGTCACGATCTCAGGGTCGTGAGACTGAGCCCCGCACTGAGCAGAGTCCGCTTCTCCTCTCTCCCTCTGCCCCTCCCCCATCTCTTGCTCGTGCACGAGCGCTCTCTCTCTCTCTCTCTCTCTCTCTCTCAAATCTTTAAAGAAGGAAAAGAAAACACCATGTACTTTTAAAATGTTGAAGGACTAAAAAGGGCTTTCGCACTGGAGGGGGCGGTAGCGAGGCCTGACCGTTCCTGACTGTGCCCGGGGATTTCCTGCCCTTCCTGTCCGGTCTGCAGGGGCAAGAGGCCGCAGGAGGGGGTGGGGCACCCAGGCGTCTCCTCACCTGAGTGTTGGGAGCGTATCTCATGCGGGAGATGAAGTCTTCGGCCACTTGGAGAGCCGCCTGCCGCTCCTTCTCGTTAGCTTTTCGCCCTGGATTAATTGGAAGGGGATTGATTGATTGATTGATTGATTTTTAAAGATTTTATTTACTTATTTGACAGAGAGAGACACAGCGAGAGAAGGAACACAAGCAGGGGGAGTGGGAGAGGGAGAAGCAGGCTTCCCGTGGAGCAGGGAGCCCGATGCAGGGCTCGATCCCGGGATCCTGGGATCATGACCTGAGCCGAAGGCAGCAGCTAAACGACTGAGCCACCCAGGTGCCCCAGAAGGGGATTTTTTTTAAAAAAAAGAGTAGGGACCCTCTCTAGCCCACATCCCATTTTCTCAAAAAAAAAAAAGGGAGGGGTCCATAGAATAGCTGGCAACTTTTTTTTTTAAAGATTTTATTTACTTATTTGAGAGAGAGAGAGTGAGAGAGAGAGCCCAAGAGGGAGTAGGGTTAGAGGTAGAGGCAGACTCCCTGCTGAGCAGGGAGCCCGATGTGGGACTCGATCCCGGGACTCCGGGGTCATGACCTGAGCCGAAGGCAGGCGCTTAACCAACTGAGCCACCCAGGCGCCCCAGCTGGCAACTTTTAAAATAAACAACAGACCAGGAGGTGCTGAGATGCTGAGGAGTCTTTGGAGGTGTGAAGTCAGCCCCTGGAGACTTCCAACCCGGCAGCTCTGTGGGATGAAAACTGTTCTTTCTGCCTGCTCTAATCAAAACCTCCTGCTCAGACCATGGCCCCACAGATATTCAGGATTAGTGTTCCCAGTGGCCTGAGACTCTAAATCGAGAGCCCCACCCTGGGGCACCTCACTGCTGGAGTCTGTCAACCGTACTGCTGACAAGTATCAACAAGTATCAGGCCTTTTGTGCAAAACTAAATAGGACAAAAGGGTGTGATTTATTATAATCTCACTCCCATAATGCCAGACAGCCATTAGGCCTGCCACCTAAGAGCTTATAAAAAGGAAGACCATACAGTTATCCATTCCCTCCTGTGGGCCGTCCCTCTAGTGCAGGATGTGCTCCAGTTTAAGGCAAGATACTTCTCTTCCTGGCTCCCAACTTTCTTGTTTTTTTTTCCCCCCCTCTGGTTTCTCTTTCCAAAATGGTTCAGTTCTTTTTTTTTTTTTAAATTCCCTCCCGTGGGCATCTGGGAACCCCTCAAGCTCGGAACT